AGTATGTACAATTCTGGTTCATCAACTTTTACTGTTTCTTCGCAATCATGTGTGTTACATATTTCTTTCCCCTCTTCTTCCACGTGTCTCTCGCGGCTTGGAGATAACCTTTAAATACGATCAAGTACTGTATAACAGAAACAAAAGTGCGCGTGTCTTCACGAAAAAAAGTTTGTAAAGTTCACGAAGAAGAGTTTGCAGACACGCAACCGGACAGACGCTTCGGGGCAGGATTGTGTACAGGGCACGAATATTGAAGGCACACCCAGGATGGGAATTATAGATTAAAGGGGCGAGTGACCGCAAGGTTGCGATTGCTTTTTTTGTGGGGGGGGGGAGAAACGAAACTCGATCGTGAAAGAAACACAACAGATATTCTCTCACCGAATCATTCGCTCGCACGTAAAGGCCGAGGTGCCCGACACGCCTAAAGAACTAAAGAAGAGCGTTAATTTTCGATTTAAAGCTTTCGTGACTGCAGGGATTCATCTTCTTGGTTCTTTCGGTAAAGTCACCTGAGGACGGCTGCTTGCGTTGTGGCCGAAACGTCGTGAGAACTATTTTATTATGTTTTGTTTTTATTATTTTATTATTTCCATTCTACGTGACTTTACCGAAAGAGCGTTAAAGGTCCGTCCCACCAAGTTTTCTGGCAATTACCCTTGCCACTCATCTCCGTCCTGGTTCCCTCCAGGGTTGCGATTTCCGCATGGAAAATGCGGAAGGAGGGTTCAAATTTTCCCGCATTTTTGCTAAAGTCAACCGCAAACGGTGGAAAGACTACTCCTATGACCGCGCGCTTTTAACAACACGTTAATGCGTTCTATTGGAAAGGATACATGCAAGGCCCAGCATCACGTAGGGCTTTGAGTTACTGATTGGAATGAATATATGATTTCCGCATTTCCGCACAAGAACCACATACTTTATTCAAATGCGGAGCCGTGATTACGAGCACATGTACATGATGTATCCTTTCCAATAGAACGCATTAACGTGTTGTTAAAAGCGCGCGGTCATAGGAGTAGTCTTTCCACCGTTTGCGGTTGACTTTAGCAAAAATGCGGGAAAATTTGAACCCTCCTTCCGCATTTTCCATGCGGAAATCGCAACCCTGGTTCCCTCGCTTCACGCCCACCCCTCCTTCACTCCCCTATTAAACCAAAACATGCAGCTTTGCTTGCACCTGCACCTAACTTCCTACGGCGCTTCTTGCTCCCATACACGTACACGTGTCTATTTTTAGTTTTTCAATTTCCGTATGTTTACGCACTGTTGGACTCAAACAACGCAGCTTGACTTTCACCTGCCCCTAAACTTCCGTTGTTTGTCGCTGCTGTGCTCACGCGCCACCGATTTCCCTCGTTACATAGCCGGGCAACTGGCTACACGGGAATCATCCTTGCAACCAATCGAGCGAACTTAAACGCAACGATGCATCACACTGCGGTCGTGCATTGCCTGCCGCGGCGTCCTGCGTGCGCGTTGTGCTGCGAAGAAGGACCATTGCCCGCAACGTCGCCTATTGTGTCACCGTGGATTTTGTCCACGGGCAGTGCTGTCGACGGGTGTGTCGGACGTCGTAGTGCTCGCGCAGTGGAGACCACGACACGGCTCGGGCCGTGCAGGCAACGTCGCCACGCTTTGCGGTCAAACGAATTAAGAGCCTACTCTCGTGTCAAGGCTATGAAATTCTTAGCCTGCTCGTTTAACGCAGCGTTCGACGACACCGGCGGCAAACGGTGGTTGTATAACGCCGCAAACTTTCGTGTCGACAACGTTGTAATCTGCTTCGTGCGCTCGCACCGCGTTGTATTACCCCAGGGTCAGCCACCTCGACTTGAAAGCGGCCACACACACAACCCCCCTACACCGTCTCGCATCTCTCTTCCCAAATCTCGCCTCCTACTGCCCCTTCGATCCCCGCTCCAAACTCATCTCCAGCTTCATCCAGCGAGCGTCTGGAGACTGACATTGGGGGGGGCGCTTGCACCCCCCCCCCCTCACACCCAGTTCCCCCAACTCCCACCTCGTCAAAGTGCCCCCCCTGCCCCCCCCCACTACCCACCGCCACCCCCCACCACCCCCTCCCACTCCCTCCCGCCAGCCGCGTTGCCCCGATGGAGAGTTATGGGATGGAGCGATCCCTGCCGGAGATGGAGGAGGAAGGCATCTCGGGGGAGGAGATGGACTGGAGGGGAAGGAGCAGATGTGCTGGAGGAGAAGATGGGTTGGAGGGAAAGGAGATGATGGGTGGAGTAGATGAGCGGTGGGAGAACGAGATGATGGCTGGAGGAGATGGACTGGAGCAGATGTGCTGGAGGAGATGGGTGGGAGGGTAAGGAGATGATGGGCTGGAGGAGGGAGGGAGGGGCGCGGGGATGGCGACAAGAGGAGTCGTTCTCTCGCGACACCCGAGCGCAGAGAAAGACGCGCAGGGTCCGCGCGCCTCGGAGGATGTTTTTATTGACGCGGGAGCGATAACAAATGAGCCCATTTTGCAACTTTTAGTCGCTGAGCCTCTTGATGTAAGCGAGGGAGCCGGGCTGTGTGTGCGCGCGTCCTTGCCAGGTGTGCGTGTACACACACACGTGTACACGCACACACACACACACGTGTACACACACACACGTGTACACGCACACACACACACGTGTATGTGTGTACACGTGTACACACACACACGTGTACACACACACACGCGTGTACGCACACACACACGCTTGTACACACACACGCGTGTACGCACACACACACGCGTGTACACACACACGTGTACGCACACACGCGTGTACTCACTTTAAGATGTTTTCTTGTTCATGTTTTTTGTTTGTTGCGGTTGCACCCGATTCAAGAGCCGAATGGCTCACAGGGCTATACCAAATAAATAAAACTAAAACACGCGTGTACGCACGCACAAAGATAAAGATCCCCCATATAGCCTTAACAGACTGTAGGGACAAGTGTTGTTAGCGAGCACCTATGAAGGCCGGAACGGTACACAAGGGGGTGGGTGGCCAGCACCACGCCCGACCGCCTTTGTCTCCCTAGCGGCGATGTTTACACACCGCACCAGGTTCTCATTTGAGGCTGAGTCGACCACACACACACATGTACACACACACACACGCGTGTACGCACACACACACGCGTGTATGTACACACACACACGTGTACACACACACGCGTGTACGCACACACACACACGCGTGTGTATGTACACACACGTGTACACACACACGCGTGTACGCACACACACACACAGACACGCGCGTGTACGCACACACACAGACACGCGAGTGTACGCACACACACACACACGCTTAGGCACAAACTTCCACTGGGATTTTTGCACACAGCGTTGGTATACGGTGCTTTTTCTGGAAGATTTTTGCTGTTTTTTCCTGGATTTTCTGTTTGCGTATAGTCACTTTAAGATGTTTTCTTGTTCATGTTTTTTGTTTGTTGCGGTTGCACCCGATTCAAGAGCCGAATGGCTCACAGGGCTATACCTAATAAATAAAACTAAAACACACGCGTGTTCGCACACACGCACACAAAGATAAAGATCCCCCATATAGCCTTAACAGACTGTAGGGGCAAGTGCTATTAGCGAGCACCTATGAAGGCCGCAACGGTACACGAGGGGGTGGGTGGCCAGCACCACGCCCGCCGGCCTTTGTCTCCCTAGTGGCAATGTTTACACACCGCACCAGGTACTCATTTGAGGCTGAGTCGACCTAGGGGAGACCCAGGACCGGTTCAGATAATCGTCACCGGTGTTGGCCGTGAGCGGGAATCGAACTCGGGTCGCCGGGTTCATAGCGCAGCGCGCTAACCGCTACTCTACCGCTCCACACGCATGGACGCACACACACACGCGCATGTACGCACACACACACACACATGCTTAGGCACACACACGCACACGCACTGGGGTCCAGCAACGACAACGCGGTTGACAGCGATCTCTCCGCAACGAACCTGACCGCGTGGACTCCATCCCCAGGGCTCAACATCGGTGACAAATGATATTTGAACCGCAATGGCCACAGTGGTGAAGCGTGGGCGAACCACAACCCATGACATAATGAGGTCGAAATCCAGCAGCGAATTCATGAAGTACGGTGAATTTATATTATCTCACACACATATCTGCACAAAGACAAAGACTACCCCCCCCCCCCGTATAGCCTTAGCAGACTGTTGGGGCAAGTCGCTTCGAGCGAGCACCTATGAAGGCCGGCACGGCACATGAACGGGTGGTGGGTGGCCAGCACCACGCCCGACCGCCTTTGTCTCTCCAGTACTGATGATTGTCTATATACTTACACGTGGATCATATTCGCTGCACGTCTGTTGCAAAGCCCTCGAGTTAACATGGAGGGGGGTGGGGGTCGTTGATATTTCGTGCACGTTAAGTATGGTGGTGGGGGGTGGTGTGGGGTGATTTTAACGAAAGAGACTTTTTTTTTCTCTCTCGCCCCGCGGGCAACACCGTTGCAGTGAACACCGGGACACCTTCTTCGCTGTTCAAATCTCTCACAATCGCAATGGGCCCCCCACGTGAACGCGTTCTGACCTGAGGCCCGACGATTCCGTTGACCTCTCACCGTGGTGACGTCAGCGGGTAATCGTGTGTCCGTGATTGCCGTACTGGGTGCGCAAGCACTGATAATTATAATCTCGCCGCTGCGCACAAGGGTCATTGCCCGAAACGTCGCCTCTTTAATACGTGCCTATTCCTCGTGTTTGTTGGTGGTGTTATCGACCAATCGTTTGAGTTTGTTGAATACCCAGTGCGGTGCGTAAATATCGCCACGAGGGAGACAAAGGCGGCCGGGCGTGGTACTGGCCACCCACCCCTTTAGTGTGCCGTTCTCGTCTTCACATGTGCTCGTTAATAGCACTCGTCCCAACTGCCTGTTAAAGACGATACGTGTGTGGGGGGAGGGGAGGGGTGGACGCTTTTGTCTGTGTTGCTTTTTGGAGGGGCTAACCTCGCACGGGATAACCTCGGCCTGAGAGTTCCCCAATGTCCCCTCGTGAAGACGCGCAGGGAGGACACTCCGGGTCACCCCTCCCGCACGACCCGCCCCCACCACCGCCCTCGGCTCCCTGGCCTTGGCAGCATCGCCTGCAGTCGCACGAGAGCCTGGGAGGGAGAGGGGGAGGGGGGCGGAGAAAATGAAAATGAGCGAGGGGAGAGAACACCGCCACCCGCGCTCGATCCGTTCCCGACGCTGGCATCGTCGCCCAGTGTCGGAGCCAAGCCGCGGGTCAAGGGAGTTTGTTGTGTGCTTCGTTCCGAGCCCGTCGCCTCTGGCTGACCCCAGTATCACAGCCCACCCCAGCCGCCTCCTAAATCCCTCCTGCTCGTCTGAATTCCTCCTCCTCTGAACCCCCGTCCCCATGTGCCTCGCTCCAAGAGCCCCGCTGCCTCCAGCCCCCTCCGTGCGTCTCACGGTGTCCTGACATCACAACTCGGTCGTGCGTGTGCACGGCTGCCGATGGACACACATCGTGGTTAGAAGCGATGATGGCCAGATGGACGGGAATTATGGAGAAGCGGCCACACCACGCCTTCGAGCGCCGTGCGTGTCTTTATAGGTGCTCGCTAACAGCACTTGCCCCAGCAGCATGTTTAATGCTATACGGGAGGGTGTTGGTATTTGCTATGTGTCTATAGCTATGTGTGTGTGTGTGTACAAGGGGAAGCGATGGTGTGGCGGTTAGCGCGCTGCGAGATGAATCCAGCAACCCGAGTTCGATTCCCGTTCACAGCCAACACCGGTGGCGAATATCTTATCTGAACTGGTTCTGGGCCCTCTCCTAGGTCGACTCAGCCTTCTAAAATTAGTACCTGGGGCCGGTATGGCAACATCAGCATTCGGGAGCTAAAGGGCATGGTTGTTGTCCACCCACGCTCCCATCGTGTGCCGCGTGGTCTTTCGCGGGTTCTCGCCAATAGCACTTGCCGCAACAGCCTGTCAAGGCTATCCGGGGGCACCTTTGTCTTTGTCAATTGCGTGCACCTCGTGAGCCGTTACCAACGTCCTGCTCCGTGCAAGCCTCGCGCACCTGCGCGGGAAGGAATGCGGAGGCGACGGAGAGAGAAATCCATCTCGGCGCGCGAGGATTCTCAACGTTGGGTTCGCTCGAGCCGAGCAACGCGGCGGCGGCTCGCGGCCGTTTGACCGACAAAGAATTTCTCGGTCGGCGAGATTGACCCGAGAGAGAATTTCTCGGGTCAATCTCGTTACACAACAGTAAACAACAACAACAACAACAAAAATACGCTATTATATGCTCGGTTCTTTCGTTAAAGTCACGTAGATTAAAAAATATTTAATAAATTAAATTAAAAATAAAATAAACTACGACGTTTCGATCGCAACGCAAGCGGTTTTCATCTCTCCGCCTGATGAAGACCGCTTGCGTCGACATAGAAACGTCCTGGGATTTTTGCTTTTATTTTTAATTTTATCTATTTTTTATTTTATTTCTATTTTTTTATCGACGTGACTTTACCTGAAAAAAAACAAGAATATTAATTCCTGCAGGCACGAACGTTTTAAGTAAAAATACACCATCGTTTGGGTTTAGTTTATCCATGAAAAGCTTCCACTGAGTTATACAAATGTATTTGTTGTTGTTGATTAGGGCCATGCACTAAAATGTATTGTTGACAATATCACTTTGTGATGGTTGTTGTTGTTGTTGTTTTAATTTTGGGAGGGAACCGGAGCACGGAGAATGGGACCCAACTTTGCGAATCTCTCGCGCAGCTTGCTAAGCAGAGCGCGTTATCTCCACACAATCAGCCCAACCTGGGGCCCTGTGAGCTTGTCGTGTACGGCACGACAAGCTGACACGTGCAGCGCGTTGGAGTAAACTGCAGGGGTGGGGAACCTTTTTTTCTGCCACGGGCCATTTGGATATTTATAACATCATTCGCGGGCCATACAAAATCATCAACTTTAAAACTAGCCTGATATATTTGGTCAAACATTTAATTAACTCACCCCTAATGCGATGGGCTGGAACTGCTTCTCTTTGGCGAGGCGTGTGATGTTAGCTGGTATTGATGATGTTGCTGCTACTCGCAACTGCTTTTCCAGGTTTGCTCCGAGATTTATTGAATTTCGAGTCCCGCCTGCGGTTGCCTTGGCAGGGCCACCAAATGATTTCGCGGGCCTCACACGGCCCGCGGGCCGAACGTTCCCCACCCCTGGAGAAAAAGGTTGATGGATCACGCAGAGGTTTCACGTAGAACCCACAAACCCGCGGGGCTACGAGGTGGCGGCCAGGAGATGGTGATGCAGAACACGGATTATTGAGTCCATCTGTGCGAAGCTTTGAGTGCGTGACCTTGCTCGTGTGGCGAATGAGGTTCATCCGGGTTCCCCGGTCCCTTCACACGCGCGGAGCGACGCTCTCTTTACTCAAATCGGAAATCCGCCAAACATCCCAACGCTGCACGACCCTGCTGACAACGAGTCGAGACTCAGCGAGGACATCACCGTGTCACGCAAACTCCTGGTCGGGCATGTCCGACTCGGCCACTCAACCCTCTGAGATCGATTAATTCACTCGCACTGTTCGCAACCCGTGGGGATGTCGCCGGTTCGATCTCTCGGCGTGGCAGATGAAAAGGTTGGGCAGGTTCATCCAATCAATCCGCCTCTGACAATCCAGTCGTAAGTTTTGCGGTTTTTTCCACCTCTTTGAAGACGTTTGCCCAGCGTGGAAGAGCAGGCCAACGTGCCCCTCGATAAGAGGGGCTCAGCGAGAACTCCCACGTAACGGGAGGTCCTTCCACCAGCAGTGACGTGAATACGAACTTGCAGGGCTGTAGCTTTGACTCGTCATCATCATCATTATTATTATTGTAATTATCACACCACAACTAATTGGTTGTCGCTCATCTTAGCAGCAGCAACAAATGATCAGGCACATCCCCTGGCACGAGGACACGCGGTCATTGCCAGCAGCTGGGAGAGCCGGTGGAGTCACATATTCCGTCCGCGCTCCTCTACCAGTTTCAAAAAGAGCATTGAACGAGGCCAAATATCATCTAAGCCCCCCCCCCACCCCTACAAAAAAACACAAAACGTCAGTGTAATACAGCAGCGGAGCAGAGCTCTTAATTTCCGGCAGTGACAGTCTCGCCTTTGATAAACTCGGCTCGGATAGGGGGGCCTGACGCCGGCCTCTCTTGGGTGAGTGCGCAGGCAACAACAGGCAGCAGCAGCAGCAGCAATAGTAGCCGACTCCGTGTGGGCTTAGCCGTTTATTTTCTCGGGATTTTCGAAGGATTTTGCTGTTTTCGTGACCGATGGGGGAGAAGTGGGGGGGGGGAGGTCAACGCGTTCCAAAGCTGCCACTGTGCACGCGTTCGCACGCTCTGTGCGTACCTCTGTTTTCGCTGTTAACCCCACGGGTTCGCCAGTCCTGTTCTTGGGGCGGGGGGTCGCACCGTCACAGGCGCCAGGGGCAATTGATATCTCGAAGAGAAGGGATTGACTGTCTGCTAGGTGAACTCGGCCTCAAGCTCAGCATGTGGCGCGGTGACGGCATGCATGTGCGTTTGTGTGTGTTCCCTTTTGTCTTGTGCGTGGAGCGGTGGTGTAGCGGTAAGCGCGCTGCGCTATGAACCCGACGACCCGGGGTTTGATTCCCGCTCACGGCCAACACCGGTGACGATTATCTGAACCGGTCCTGGGCCTCCCCTAGGTCAACTCAGCCTCAAATGAGTACCTGGTGCGGTGTGTAAACATCGCCACTGGGGAGACAAAGGCGGTCGGGCGTGGTGCTGGCCTTCATAGGTGCTCGCTAACAGCACTTGCCCCTACAGTCTGTTAAGGCTATACGGGGTATCTTTGTCTTTGCTCCCTTTTGTCTTGTGCGTGCAAAGGTAGTGCAGTGGCGGTTAGCGCGCTGCTGCGCTACAAAACCGGCGACCCGAGTTCGACTCCCGCTCACGGCCACCAAACGCCGGTGACGATTATCTGATGGTGGTCGTCAATCCCCCTTCGGTCGACTCAGCCTCGACCCGAGCACCCCGGGTCGAGGCTGTCCACCCATCCTTTCGTGCGCCGTGCTGGTCTTCATAGGTGCTCGCTAATAGCACTTGCTCCCAGAACGTCTCTTAAGGCTATACGGGGGTACGGGGGGGTCTTTGTCTTTGTGTGTGTCTCCACGGGACGCTGGAGTCGCGTCTGCCGCGAGAAGGGGAGATGCTGTCGCTACACGCACAGTGGCCAGTCCCACCGCTTTCACTCCGAGTGTCACTGGAATGTTTCCTAGATTCTGCCAGCAAAGTTGTTTTTTCTTCTTCTTCTTCTTGTGGTTGCTCTGTGAGGACATGCATTTGTGCGACTGCAAAGCACGTGTGCGTCTTCAGGTGCGACGAATATACACACACACCGATACATGTGTAGTGAGTTCAACTGAGTCGCAGACGTGTACGTGGAGGCAACACATTTATTGAACTCCAACACACGGGGTCACTTCCCCTTAACAGACTAACAACTTGTGGTGGTGACCACCAGGCTAACTACACTAATTACTACTACGAACCGGGACCACAGCTCGGGTCCAGGTCCACGTGTTGGAGACTCGGAGAACGTAGACGAAGATTCTTCAGGATGAACAACAACAACAACGCCGGCCCCTCGGGGGAACCGGCTTAGATCCTGTGCGGCGTGGCCGGCTCCACCCTTGGCCACGCCCACCTTCCAGAATCCTCGAGCAGGATCTGGATGCTAACCACGTGACCACCCCTAGCCCCCACTTGGACGGTCCCTTTGTAGACTTAACCGGTCACGTGTCCTCCCGGGTCAACCAGAGTGCCATGGCCTTTAGTAACCTCATTCTACGGCCGGCACTCACACACCCTGTCCTGTAGGGGCTTGCACTGCACGCCAAGCGTGGTGCCCTTTAGCGCTGTCAATCAGCGCTCACCGGGCCCCTCTAGGGCCTGTATTATACCCACACCCTCGTGGTGTCCGCCATGTCGCAACACCGCACGCCGCGCCTCTCCAGGGCCGGCAATGCACAGTGACATCCCACGATGACACTACACACACGAGCGGGGGCGCAACGCATCGGCACCACGCTATGAAATAATGAGTTCCATGCGGTTAACATCAGTGGCGAGTGATTTCTTAACCCGTCCTTGCCCCCAACTCCCACACCCAACCCCCCGACCCCCACACACAGTTCACCAACGGACACTGACCAGCGTGGTGAAGTATGGTCAAACAATTAACCACGACCCACACGGCGTGGCAATACGTCCAACAGTGGGTTGATTAAAGGGGACTTGTAAATTACGTGAATCATTGTCATCCACAGAGCCCAACCATTCTGGGCTTTCGGCGGATGATGCCGATTATTATTTACCCAGGAAACGCTTCGTTGAATCTCAAGACTCGTTTCCATTCAAAGAGGCTCCTGTATTGAAATGCTCGGGCAATGGGCATTGATGAGCGTGCGTGCGGCTTCACATCGTGGTGTGGGGGTACACGGAGACAATATTCGGATGAGTAACAACTCAGAGATCGACTTTGGTGGTTTCCGCACCTCCGACTGGAGAAATTCAAAGTTGCGTTCGATCCACATTGCAGCTGAGTGGACTAAATCTGTCCGTGGACCGCACACGCCCATTGGCCGCATTGCCATGTTCCGCTGGCACCTCGCCGCTCACGTGGTCTTCAAACACCTGAGATGCGCCGCGGGTCTCCAATACAAGCACTGGGATAATGATTGCTCGAGCCTGCTCAGCTTTTCCGAGACCCTTAAAAGTGCAGTAGCTATTTACGTCTAAATTTGAAGCTTTCGTGACTGCAAGGATTCATACTCTTAGTTCTTTCGGTAAGCTATTTACGTCTTAGGAAAATAAAATCGCGCTCCTCACTCCAATAATGAAGAAAAACATTTAATCCTTCTCGTTCATTGCGTCCTAAATCAATACATTTAGAAGAACTTTAGAACGTGTAAATATTTGCTCTGGTTTTTTGTTTTGAGTGGG